GAAGAACGAAAATAACCAATAACATGAAAAGCATTAAAACTAATAAAATCAAATTCTTGACCTCTACCTTATACTTAGAATGCATCAATTCAATATCAACTATAAGCTGATAACATATTTCTGTGTCTATATAAGTCCAGCTATGTATAAACTGGTAAATAAGCAGAATAACATTCTTGTCAGTAAGAAAGAAATGAAGTTTACAATTAAACAATGAAGACGTTTGTCATTAATAAGTGAATTATAAACTCAGGTCAACATAAACAAAATGAGAAATGTCGCTGAGTCATTAATTTGTGCAGAGTGAAATAAAAATGAGAGGAAGATAATATGACCCATTCAACTGATGAACGACAGATATAGTAACGCATTGTCAAAATTTTTTTACTGTTACATAATTTAACATTAAGGTCCTACAATGCTTAAAATTAGCTGATTTTTTTATTATTTCTAAATATCGTTCGTTGGTACTTTATGAATTTTACCATAAAACTGACTGTCAGAAAAAATTCGTGGGAACTTATTGTAACTATTGCTAAATTAAAGATTTATTATTTAATGACTAGTAATATCATCTGGAATTAGAACACTTTATCTTTGTTACGTTTGAGTATCATCAATCCAGAAATACATAAACTGTAGACTCATAATTTGATCCATTCACAATTAGATGATTTTCCCGGTATGATATGACGTGAAAGCGTAAGTTTATAAATCGATATATGTAGTAATGTTAATCAGGTTCATCACTCTAGGTAAGAAAAGGCATTTCAGCACTATGATTGTCAGCTATGATTGAAATAAGGGTGAATTGTGTCATATTATATCATTAGATGTTTAACATAGAACCTGTGCAGAAATGAAGCAGCATACAACAATCTTTTTCACTTATCATTGACCTCATCACATGAAGAGATAGCAACCGTGTTGTTATTTTCATCTGATATCCTTCTTGTTATGCTTTAACACAAAAAGGATTCATAACATATTATCACAATCTAACCAGATCACGTTTATCTAATATCATTGGTATGCAAACCTAGTCGATTACTCTCATCAAAACGGTTTTGGTTCCCCAGTATTTTAATAGGTAATGTAAATTTCATAAATATGTATGCATGTGCTTAAACAGTTCATAATACATAGTACAATCCTTTAAGAGTTAGCAGAAACTAACATAATACATCACATGAAAGATTATCCTACATAATTATGAACACTACGAAAAAATTATGCTCTTAAGATAAAAGCAATTACCAATTATCTGACGTTCGAGAATACAAATGACATATTTTCATATTCGTTACCATTTCAAAATACACTGATCTGTTATATTTTTTAAAGAAAATGAAAGAGAAAATTTGAACACCATTACTAGAATTTTGACGCCGTCATGGAATGAAACCCCACCTTATATTATTGTCACCGGTAAACATCATTTGTACACACCAAACATCATTTTGCTGTCAAACAATTTGTGATTCAACGTTAGTAACCATAAATGTTATTTATTAAATCCGACTACATAGAATAATAATAATTATTATTCAGCATCCATTTTTAGCAAACGGATAGTATCTTTCAAAAAAGGAAAAATAACTAAAGTGGTGCTCAGTGATGATTTTATATATAGCTATTCAGTTGCCATGTCCAACAAAACTCATTCAAGTAACTAAGTACTCTAACAAAAAATAATGAAGTGAGTGATAATAATTTAAAGATATCCACCAAATGAGTTTAAATTTTGCCCATAATTTTTCACTGTCTGTAAATGACACAAACTAGCATCCCCAAATATTTAAAGGTATCACCGGAGTCATTGTTTAAGCTCTCAGTTGATGAATAGAGTGCTGTTGTCCATACATGTCAAAACAGTGAAATATTATTAAACCCCAAGTAAATACAATACCCAGCATTTCGTTGCTTTCAAGGGTGTATATATAAACATAAATAAACAAATAATCAATTATCTAGAAAAAACTGTTTACCGTTTTCCTAAGTAACCAGCCTGATCAGTGTAATCGTTTTTATTTCTATAGATATATGTTATGGAAATGTTGCAAAATAAAATGCTTCGGTGTAAATGAGAGAAATTTCAAAAAATTCCATAATTCGATTAATGCATACTTACATAAATAACGGATGGAATGATAAACAGAACAGATGACAATATCTTATAACTGGAACTGGTCATTGTTTCACTGTTCTATTTTTCTTGTATTTCAAGTTGTGCCTCAAGGTAGCACAGTTATTTTACATTTTTCTGTTATTTATAACTGTTGTAGTAGGAATTAAAGAATCAATAAACTTAGCACGTGAATATTTATCATGTGGTACTAGATTTTTTACACAAATGGCAGTTTTTGGGCTTTACCGAATTCCGATTCACCAATACAAATAATAAATCTAGGTTCTTTCCAGTGATTTGATGAACATACTGACTGACAGAGTAGTGAAACCACTGAAGCCACTATGAAGTATAGATGAAGTATAAAAATGTATTCTATTTATGTTCAGTTAGACAGAGATTATAAAAGGTGTCTACAACTACAGTTAGGCTGTAACTATTTTGGTCACAAAATCTACAGTCTGTGAAGTAGCATGTACATTAAATTGTCTGGTTAAAATCCTGGCTAAACTTATCAATGCCAGTAAGTTATCCACAAATCATTGACCGTATATTCACCAACATGAAGCTGCAGTCTTACAGATAACTAGGACCTTTCTACCGCATTATAAGGTATTATCTTGAAACTGTTTTAATGTACAACCCACCATCAGCACGAGTTAATTATAACTAAATAAAGCCACTTTAACTTCTCTGAGCTAAACGGCAGGAAGTGGAGTTTAAAAATCTAGAAATTTAGAGAAGCCCAAATTTTTTCATGACACCAGTGGTTTATAACAGACAATAAAATGAAATGTAATCCTAAGTCTTCTAATTGCTTAGCAGAAAGACTAATCGAAAACAGTTAGACAAAATCTCATAGTATTTATTTAAACTTTACTGATGGGAACAATAGATTAACTGTGTACCAAGTCACATGTATTCCTAAAATGATGAGAACATTTGGTATGTGTGAATCCAAGAGCATAAAATATGGAAAAGAATTGGTGCAAAATCATACCTTATAATCCTGATTGATTTACCGATAATAATACATTCATGTCTTAATGTTAGTAAACCCAAAATAGCCATTACATTTCTTTGGTAGGATCACGTGTGAAAATAATTTGTTCTCCACATGTGAATATAAATGTCAAATACTTAAAAGATAAGCTGAAAGAACTCGACCTCCATAATTTCGAGTGACCAAATTTAACATTACTCGTAGGAAGCGCTTCAAACAATAAACTAGTAATAACCAAAACAAAAATATTCTGGAATTCCAAATATAAATGTTGGTAAATTATTGAAGTGAACAGAAATAGGTGATAGCAATTTTCACTAGAAAACTGTTAATGTTCTAAAGCAAACGGTCATCATTTGAGACGATTAGTAGGTCATGGATTTTATTTATCTAACCATTCAGTAGTTCAGTACATAAAAGTGTTCTGAAAAACACTTACAACAAACGACAGCCTTAAATACTACTAATCAATATGAGTAATTTAATGTTTTGCTGAACGATTATGATCCAGGTTAATTGTGTACAAAACTTACTATAGTCTATTTTTCAATAAGAATTTTACTGACTGTAATATACACTAATTCTTAGGTTTTTAAAAAAATAAAACTCATTATCTTAATTATACTCTTTGGGATTTCGCTAAGTTGGTAACCACCATTATCAATGTCCTTTCCTTACTTGTTTTAAATTCTGTTATATTTCCAGTAGACTAAACAAAAGCATCGTAGTGGCAGAAATAGTTTTAAATGTTGAATAAGTGCATGTTAATTAATAATGTTAGTATTACTATGCAACTATGACGCAATCACAAAAAAGTAATCGAACATAAATATTCTTTGATAAAACTAGCTGCGTCTAGATGAAACTGATGACAAAAGGAGAATTGTGAACGTTAATGACTGTGGTGAAAACACATACTGTTATACAGTTACGGTACAAGTATAGGTTAGTGATATGCAATGAAGAAAAACAAACTGTTTTTAAGCAAATGAATTTTCTGGTAAAACACATAAAATGAAAGCAATAAAAATGACAGTGCGCACCAAAAACAGTAATACTAATATGTATATATGTATAAGAATTGCTCACATGTATACATTAATGGAAGGTGAAATGTAAACAAACAAAATATTTGAAGCATAATCTATTCATTTATAAATACATAATACCCACACGTAAGAGCACATATAAACATTTGTATTATTATTAAAAGGATATGCAAAGCACTAGGCGCTGACACAGACAAATGAAGTTACACATTTATAGCGTTAAATTTTTTATCAGTCATACCACAATAGTTATCAATGCATTAGAAGAAACAGTAAGAAACAATAAACCCTGCTGTAACTATTCACACAAGCCAGTTTACACGCACACACATTTAAACAGAGACAGATGCTGTTAGAAGTGACAGTATGATGAAATCAAAACTAGTTGAGACCATTGCACAAACACACGAATACAAACATACATAGAAATGGACTATGAGTGTACTAGCAATGGAAATGATGTCTCAGTCTTCTTCAAAACATAATATTGGCAAGATAGTATAAGTACTAAAAAATGAAGCACCAAAACTTGTTTTCTTTGTTTAATGCACATGGATAAACATGATCTCATTGTATGAGTATAACCACCGAACATACATACATACATACATAAAAAAACACAACTCAACTAATCAATTAACTAGCTAATGTTAGGATAGCAATATAATCAGGTTATTATAATTTTTAATAAGATTTAAACAATCATAGGCAGTTAGTTCAATTATTAATTATTGATAAATGTTTATCAGTTGAGTAGAAGCAATACCGACACAGATAAACACACAAAAGTAGAAAGATTACACAACAAACCATGTCATACCATTTAGAACAGCCAATTCCATTAACTGTAATTGTTTCAATCTGTCCTCATTTTCTGGCTATAATAATTATGAAAAATGAGAAAGCAAGTTAAATAATCCTACTACTTTTCAAATAATTTATCTATGTAATGGTCTTATAAACAGATATTTAATGAAGAAATTAAATAATAAATCCATTTTCCCACGTTTGTATTTTCATTACTATTCTCGATTAATCATCAGACAAACAGAAGTTAATACTAGTTAAATATTTATTCATAATTCAGCATTTATTTATGATCCCCTTTATTCTTTTGAAATCAAATCGTTCACCATTAATTTCTACTTTCTCCTTACAATCATTATGTTAACAAAGATAAGTATAGTCACATACAATGAATATCCAGTGTTGGACAGACGGAAAGATAACAACATATCACTACTTATGTGAAGTGATTTCAGAAGACTTTTCTGGACTTTAAGAATAACTTGAAAGTTGTGATTGTAGAACATAACAAACAATTTCATATTCAGTAGTTAATCAAAGTGAGAAATACTTTTTTATTTACTTTCCACTTCTCACAGCTAAATAAAAACCAACTGTAATAATTGATGACACACATATATTCATCAAATTTTACTTCATTCATGTGTCTGACAACAGCATTTTTGTAATATTATCATACTAAACAGCTTTATGTATGTGACGTTATACAGCATGGATTGAAACCCAATCATCGATAAAACCATTGATCGTAGTATAATAAAAAGCATAAAATATTTGGAAATTTCAAACACATTTTCATCTTATCAAATTTCTGCATTATTCATTAATTCTATCATCAATGAATATTTCTTTCTGTGTGTTCTGTGAGTTCATCAGAAATATAACGACACTGGTTTTTAAGTAGTGTGTTATAAACATATTTAGTGAATCGGGACAGAAATTGGTTCTATTATAGTTACGAACGATGAAGATTTACCAAAAAATAGCAATAACTGAACAATAAATGCTCTAATAATTAGATAACAGAACAATGTATATAGCCGAAGTTGGCATTCACTCCAATCGCATTACTGTGACACCTGACAACTTCAACAAGTTTAAACATATTAGTGACTAGAAAACATTAGTACACATCACAAACATTGTAAATCAAATGTTATCCGATTGAAAGCCCTCTTTCTTGCAAGTTTGGTACGGCAAGCAACAGTAATTCTTTTCCGTTTATTATGATTTCATGAGACATTCCCTAATCCCATAACTTAAATGAATAGGTTATCCATTTTTCTTCTCATTTCTGAAAGTAAAGGCAAACAGCATATTATCTTTCAGGCATACACTTGAAATTGTAGAGATGGTATATCTTTTTATTAAATGAACCCCATAGTCCTTCAGATCCAATATGATTAGAATGTATTCCCACTATTTATCATGGTATCGTTACAATCATACACAAAATTTACCAATATCAGATAGACAGTGACTCATTTCTTATAATTTTTATCGATCATTTGTACGAAGATAAAATCAGAAGAGATCTAGCTAACTTCGTTTTTAAAAATGAGATGATCCCGAGCGTCAAATGTTTGTATCTCGAATGCCAGTCCGGTAAAGTGTACACTAACAGTGAAGTAAAAGGAATAAATAGTAGCCGATCAGTTCAGAGTACCGTTAAGAATAAAGGCCGTATGTTAATAATTGTTTGTAAAACTGGGATTTATCTGAAGTATAATGACAGGTAAAATCATCGTCAAGACCTACAGATATTAGGAAAGAAAATGATAAGGCGAGAAAGATAGTAAGTAGTGATGTAACTGATGAAATATTATGAGAATCACCACCTTTATGAAATTTTCTAATGTTTGATACGGAAACTTCAGTTATTAATCACTTGTATGAATAACTGACTCTTGCCATGTAAAAAGTAGATTTAAAAAGTTACCGTGAACTCGAACAAAACGTACTCTTAATTCAGCGGAAAGAAAATGATTGCTCTCAGTGTACAAAACACTTTAAAGTCAACCAGGGTTATTTATGATTTTATCAGTTTATACTGACATCTACTGTCAGTTTTAATTTTAGTACAATAATTAATGGAAAGATTAAATTACAGTATAAATCTGAACACCATAAACCTAATTATGATATTGGAATACTTACTAAAGATCTTTTCACATTTAATTATCATTTCTACTAAAAACAATGGATAGAACGATAAAATGTTCCCCATCTTGAAACTATAACTTTCTTAATTGAGCATTTACGGGCTTGAATTTTATTGAGAACGCTAGTCACCCAAACTCAGCCATTTAGTTAATCCTGAATAGAATTACTTGAACAATCGTTTTAATCACTGGATACCACTAAACAAATGATAACTTGGTAGCAATATCTATGTTGAAAACATTTATTGATAGTTTTTATTGCATCATATCACCACATTATTGGCAGAAATTCCTATCTAGTTATTTCACCCCTTATTCTGATATAATAATTCATTTAACTGATGACCAACTTGAATAACCATAAAATAAACATAAAATACTAGACACTTTTCATTATTTTAATCAGTTTTGTGATAATGATAGCAAATCCATGTTATCGAATTTCTCCTAAAGTATACTAAAAGTATCTTTGACAATCGATATTTACAACTTGGGAATTAATCTAGAATTGATAGAAACAGTCAAGTTTTTGTTAAAAAGTGTTTTTTTTTTAATAAAAGTGTAATTATAATATTAATGTATTGTTATTATCATTACGAGTCATGCAATTTTAATCTATTGTAAGAACATGAACTTGTGATTTAACGGTTAGTGCCATGATTTTAAATTATTCATTGCAAGTGTATAATTCTTCTTTGTAGCATTGAGAGTTTATTGAAATTACTAAAATACCCAATTTAGAAAACCACTGAAAATCTCGAAGCTCTGAATATTAGTGTCGTCCAGGTACAGGGCTCCTCAGCAGACAGTGCAAGATGGTTGTGCCGTACCGAAGGTTGATTTGAGTTAGACATGCAAATCACAGTATGCTGGCTCGGTGATCTAGATGTTAAGTTCCTGGATTCTAGCTCAAGTGACAATATAAATGAGCGTTGCTGAAAAATCCCACAATAAGATGAAACAGCTTTCCAGTGCTTTCAGATATTCATTGTGTTTTTTAAGTTCGGTACGGTTGTAATTTCAGTAGCATCCACCAGTTTCTAGAAACTAGGGATGCTGAACAATAATTTAACTAACAATTAGTTAGGTAAGTAGATATCCTTTGGAAAAGTGAGGTTATTTTTCAGTGTTGATAAATCAGTACACCGTAGTGAGTTACATACTAATCTAAACATGATATTATATGTATCTTTTTATTCAGTTACAGAATAAACGTCCTTTACTTCTAGCTTTGCTTTGGGTAATTCATTTATTCTTTGAGAAGTTTTGGAGCTCATTCTGCATAGATACTTACAGTCACATTTATGTTATTAGTTTATTGAAGAAGAAACTCATTCTTTTGTGAATTATGAATACGAAAAAGGCCTACAGAAACTTACTACTTTTGTCAATAAAACATTGTGTCATTCATTTATCACATGACAAACGACGTCGTACTATATACATTGTACATCATAATCTGTGACATATATGTATATATAATGACACAGTAAAGTCTACTGTCAGCAAATCACAGTATACTTAACATACGTGCAACATTTCATTTTCGTTTATGAATTGTTTCTCAAGGTAATAAATCTCATTTAAAAGGTATGGAGACACTAGGTTTTTTAAATGTGTATCAAACATATGACAGTTTGATATGAAAATGCCTTTTACGCACATAATGACTGGTATTCGATACAATGTAAAGATAATATGAGTTAACCCAATAGATAAATAAAACATTTAGTCTAAATCTTACTATAAATAATATCTCCACACAATTATTAAGATGTACAAATGATAGGGCAAAGTTACTTATCTTATTATTAGTTTTAGAGTACACCGAGACAACAAAGTAATTTGAAACTGTGTTGATCGGTCTGGAATAGATTTCGTAACACTCAAGTTGGAGTAAAGTTTCCAATTATTTTTTATAAGGTTTAAAGTGATCAGTGGTTAAGTATCATTGATAAAATAACGCTTTTTTAAACTTTACAAAAATTATAAAATAAGTGGACAGTATAATGTGAATATCTTTTGCATCCATACATTTATGTAAAACCAACTGGTTATAAAAACAAAGAAAAGTTAATTCCAACCAAACCATAAATTGATTGCACTAACCGGCACAACTTCATTCTGAATAATGCTTAATTACTTATACAATCGAACATTTAAAAATTCTTAATTCTCAAACTGATTGGACAGAATGTATAGACATAGAAATGATAAGACTTCTCAAATTGTTATGCAGCATCAAGATCACTACAGTATTCAAATACATCTGATGTGAGCAGAATAATTAGAGAAAAGAGGATACTTACCATATGGAAAAACTCTAAGTTTCGAATTCCTCTTCATGTCACTTGCTTAATTTTGATGTTTACTAAGCTAATTAACATGCCAGTAAGATATACCACATCTGTTATGAAATAAAGACAAACAATAGAAGGCATAATATCTAAACTCAGAAAGACAGAAAATGTCTGGTTGTAAGGTTAGAGGAGCGCATCATCTATGAGCCCGAAAAAGACGAAACACAAGTTATTTTAAAACATCCTCAGTAATCCTCCTGACCAATTCAATCATTGCCTTGGTCAAATTCTCAGTTCTATTAATCTTTACTATCTATAACCATATTAATAATGAATGTGCTCATAAAAACGAAAAGAGTTTAACTCAGATCATTTTACGAAATATTTAAGGTAAGACTAGACAATCAATCACTCATATACTATCATCTTAATTCCTAACATATTAAAATTAGTATCTACTAGATCAAATATTAGAGGAAAGGGATAACACTGAAGAACTTAGTACCTTTCTTAAAAAGTGAAAAGAAAATACCTAATACAAAAGTACTTTACGAAAATCTTATAGTCACTAAAGTAAAACAGATAAATTATGGAAAAATTGTAGACAAA